CCTTCTATTAAATTAAATCGTAAACTGCCTTAAGACAGTTTGGTAATGGTTGAGCTATTATAGGAGAGCATTGAGATGAGTGGAGGCTCCGTGCATGAATTTTATTGTGTGGATTGCCTAAACCAGTGAGGTGAAGATTAGGTAAAAATCTTAAATTAGGGGTTGGTTTTGAAAACTAAATGTCTAGAACAATAAGACCATAAAATAAATTTATGAGAACAATACACTTCTTTTCATGCCTTTATGACTCGAGCAAGTAAGCATGTAAGGATATTTCAAAATTTAGTGCCCTAAGGTCAACTGACTTGAGAGTCACCGGCCTAAAACTCGCTAAAAAGGTCATATAGAAAGCAAGAGGGAAAGAAGTTAATAAAAAGTTATCTGATCAAGCCTTTATAACTCGAGTGAATAAGCCTGCAAGGGTTTAAAACCTTGTGCCCTAAAGCCAATCGATTTGGGAGTCACCGGTCTAAAGCTCGTTACATGGGTTATATAGAAAGCAAATGAGAAGATGATAATGAAAAATGAGAAGTTTAATAATAAAATCAGAAAAATTAGAGAAAAGAGAGACGATAACATGAAAAAAACCCTTAGACATTTGGTTAAAGAAACTATGCCTTTAAGGCGAGGCAAGTAACCTAATTTAATCTTGATTGTCGAAGCAATCAAATTTAGGAGAGCTTTCACTTGTTGAAATGTAAACTTGTGATAGTGAGATTAATCCAAACTACGAGAGGGTGAGGACTACAGCTATGTAAATTCCTAATTTTAAAACACAACTCTTGGATAATTGAGTGAAAAACATAAGTTTGGGGGGTTGTGTATCTCGAGCGAGTAAGGATACAATTGACCACTCGGGATCGGGACTGAAATCCATCATGAACCTAATATGTTGGCATGAATTCACACACACACGTCAAGTAAGCATTTAACAGGTGAATGTTGATGTCATTTTTGCACTGATAAATTTTCATAAAATCGAATACTTAGTCCAATCCTGAGCCGTAGCAGGGTATTAAGCCATGTTTGCTCAGAATTAAGTCATTATTTTGTTTGAGGACAAACAATAGTTCAAGTTTGGAGGGTTTGATAATTGTGTTTTTGCACACTTATTTAGGTCACAAACATGACTTAATTAAGAGCAAAATGATTAAATTGTGACTTAATTTCATTGCATTTATGAATTGTAGAGAACACCGATGAACATGGTGAAATTCATGAGAAAAAACTCGAAAAAGGACTAAAATGACACAAAGTGAAAGTTCAAGGACCAAGGTGCAATTACCTAAAAGTTGACCCGATGAACAAATCAAGGAATTAGTTGAACCAAATGCCAATTGATGATGCCTTGGGATGATGGAATGGAAAGAGTGAAGAAAAGAGGCCTAGAAGTGAAAAATTAAAGTAAAGGGACTAAATTGAAGAGAATAGAAGTTGAAGTCTACCATGCGGTCGCATGGTAGAACTCTCGTGCGGCCGCAGGAATGGATGCAGGGAATTTAAATCGAAACATGGAATAGCCATGCGGCCTCACGGATTAAAACCATGCGGTCGCATGGTAATTTTTTCGATACGAAATTTTCTTTTCTTATACGATTAAAACTCGTTTGGTAACCTAATATTGACGGGATATAAATATCAAAAAAGGTCTAGAAATGACCAGAACGCATTGGGAGGCAGTAAAACACATCTTGAAGCGGATTTGGAGCGCGAGAACGAAGATTGGCCATTGGAATTTCAAGATTTCTTCAAATTTTTATAATCTGGTGATGCTTATTACTCAAAACTTGATGTATTTTGTTATTTTAATCATGCTAGGCTATATTTTCATGTGCTAGGAGAACGATGAACCATGTAATTTGAATTTTAATATCCTAGTTTTGCAATTTGATATTAAGACCCATTTAAGGGCTCGTAATTGTGTGAATTTGGGTGATTTATTCTTGCATTCGAGAGAATTGGAATAGATATGACATAATATAAATCATCGTAGGGTCTGATAGGGGATAGAAATATACCGCTATGCTCTACGTGAATCTTTAAGTGTTCATAAAATCGCATGCATTTTTACATATGCTCTTGTCAAAGAAATATAGGCCGGTGGTATGTAAAAATAAGTTTGACACATTTCGAGAGAGAGTATTGGATAGACTTAGAAACATTGATTCGTCACAATTGAAGTGTGTTGTCATGTTGTGAAACTAGGGTTTAAAGTGATAATTGCATGAAAAATCGTGATCCTAGTGTGTTTAATTTCTATTGATTATAACAACGTGCGTTCTCAACTTTTAGTTTTATTATAAAGTGTTAAAATATTCTTTTGAGTTTTAATTTCAATTTACTCATTACATTTGCGTAATTTGGGTTTCTTTTTGAAATTAGGGTTTTACTTAGGTTCACATCCACTTTGACAATCCAATTTTGGTTAAGGCTACGTTAAATAAAATTTGAACTAATCAATCTCCGTGGGACGATATTCGGCCTCATTGAATCCACTTTATTACTTGTTAACGAACCGTACACTTGCGGTGGTTTAAAATCGAAAGAAAATAATTTCGCGAACATATATGCATAATATTATTTTATGGAATAATGTGTGGTTGAAAATAAATTTTGAAAAGATGTGTTTTAAAGATAATGAAGGTGCCAAAGATAGGCTTAATTCATGTATGTACACATCAAATGCATTTGAAAACTTTTGCAACATCATTATATTGAAGCATGAAGCTTGCTTAATCTAAGACTAAGAACATGGCAATACCATGCTCATAAACAACATTGTTTGATGTATTAATTCCCTATTTGGTAGAGATTAAAATTTGATTTTTAATAGATTTTGATAAAAGTTGATAGAATATGTGATTGAAAAGTTCTGAATCCTATGAAATGTGTAGTCAAAATTAATTGTTATGTTCGACTTTGATTTTAAATGTGATCTAAATAAATTTTTTTAATGGTACCAACCAAGGGCTAAATAATTTTGCAGTCCAAAAGTGAAAATCTGCATATACAGGAGAATAGATGACAAGTAAGATTCATGTACGTTTGTCGGTCATCTTCATCGTTAAAAGGGAAAATGACTAAAATGTTTAAACAAAAATAGAAAATATCATCTCAACATTGCACAAATGCAATCTGAAAAAATAAATAAATAAATAAATTCTTCACTGGGCAAAAAATTCATCTTTAAAATCAATGGGAAAAAAGGAGAATTTTTAAAAATTAAATCAACGAAAATCTCCCTTTATTTATTTTGCGAAGAATAAAAATATTGGCCATCTGGAACTGACCTAGAGGCGTAATGCAGTGCATAATGGCTTCTCTCTAAATTTTACATCCACGAGGAGGAGTACTTGGATTTTTCTTGTTTGATTTTTGTAGGTTTCTTGATGAAATGACCCTTCTTCAAAATAAATACGTCCTCTACACTTTTAGTCTCTTGAGAGAAATGTCTTTACTCAAATGACACGAGTGGACTGTACATCGGGAGGGAATGATGTGGCAATGGTGATTTGCATAAAGAATGATTAATCTGAAGCCAAATGCCAAAGCAAAATGATAGAGGCCCGTTTAGTAGTAATTTTACACTCACAAAAAAATCAATTTTTTGATTTTTATTTCACTGTTCCAATCGTCATTTTTGACTTCTTCACTTATAGGTGGAATTCATTTTTTCTCTTTGACGGTCAAAAAATCAATTCTCATAATCACTACTGAACAGACCTCGAGCTGATTTGTGCAATATAGGCAAAAAAAAAAAAAAGCATTTTGTGCTAATTAAAAAAAAAAATTGACTTTCTTTTGAAGCTTTTTCAACTGTTGGAGAGTCCTAATATTGAATGGAACATGTTTTCTCCTTTAAAGTATGGTACATAAAATAAATATATACATTTCATGTATAAATAAATTTATTTAAATAAAAAAAAAGTGATGTGATGAAAGTAAAACGTGTAAATCGAGTTTCTCAATTATTACAAAATAAAATTTTGTTGTCCACTCAAAATTGAAAGGTAAATTAATATTTTTTAGAATTTTTAACCCATTTCTTTACAAAATTTCAGGAAAGGAATGAAAGGTATAAATAAACGAGGAATGCTACAAAAAGTAGGGGTGGGCGCGGGTCGGTTCGGTTCGATTCTAAATAGAATCGAACCGAACCGAACCGAAACGAACTTTTTGGGTATTTAGTAAATGGAACCGTCGGGTCTAAATATAATTATGGAATCGTTCGGGTTCGGTTCGATTCGGTTCTGTACTATAATTAATTTTTTTAACATTTATAACAATATTATATAAATACAACTAATGATACATTCAATTATTTTGGAATGTCAGAGACTAGTAAACTACCTTATTTAAATGATCGCTACGATCAAAGTTTCGATTGACGAAGGTCATAGTTTTCGATCGGAGGTCACAGTGTCGACCGATGATTGTATATGTTTTGGAATATTAGCGAGGCTGCGAGAGTGAGTGCGAGAGTCGATACAACGTTATGCATTTTAGTGTTGGTGTTTAGGGTTATTTAGTGGATTTGATCTTACTTGGCTAAGAAATGAAACAATAAAATAGGTAATTGGGTAAAAAATTTAAAAATTAGAAATGAAACAAATTATTGGGCCAAAAATTTGGATTTAGAAATCGTTAATTTGTTAATAAAAAATTAAAATTAAAATAATTTGATTTACTCAATATAAAAAAAAATTAGAAAGATTCGGTTCTTCGGTTCTTGGTCTAGAATCGAGAACGGAACCGTACCCGTCGATTCTCAATTCAGATACCCGTTCGGGTATTTAATTTGACAAGAACCGTCGATTTCGATTCGATCGGTTGGATTCGAAAGATTTGCACGGCCCTAAGAAAAAGGTCAAAACTGGCACTAAAATCCACCGAAATCTCTGCCCTTTTCGAAACTGAAATCCCGTCAAACCTCAACATTAATGGCGATTTTGTCCCCCTTTTTTTTTTTTTAAATAGATTGTTCTTCCTCATTTCTTTTACCAGGAAATTCAGATTTTTTCTTCCCCGGGCCCATCAGGAATATTGATTCTTTTATTAATTTTCAGATTTTAAGACACTGTGCTTTACATAAATACTTCAATTCTTTTGCATCTACTAGGGCTATGCTCCTCAGGCTCGTCCCCAATTCCTTGATTTTTCTGAATTATTCTTTTTAACCCAATTACACTTTTCCTGTTTGGGAATATTAATTTGCAGCAAAAAAATGAAGTTGGGATGCTAAATCTGTGTAAATGCATCAGGAATCGGTATGATGAAGAGGCGCTATTTGTTATTTACATCAAGCTGCGAGCTTTAATCGTAATATCAGTTATTTGAGGGGTTATTTTATGGCGGCAACTTCGAATATTTTGGTGGGCCAAAGAAATTTGCAGATATTGTCTGTGAGAAAGCTTCCATCTACTGCATCAGCCATTGATACAAGCAGTGGACGGTTTATTAAGGGGCTGAGTTCTTTCAAGTTCAAATGCTGTTCCTTGGAAAATTATGGATATAAATTTCGAAATAACGATAATGACGTTTTCAGTAACAGTAATGAGGCGCAGAAGGCAAGGGCTTTTGGTCCATGCTTGCCGCCATTTCTGTGTGATTCAGAGGAGGCTGGTATGTGGGAGGACAGGGCAAACAGTGTGGATTATAGGGCCTTTAATGGCTCTACCAATAGCGGAAGCTCGACCGGATTTCCGGATCGGCTCTTGCCCGAGAAAATCATGGTTGCGGTGGATGTTGATGAGGGTATGTGATTTTCTCTTCCGGTGTAATTTTCTACTTTTTTGAGTTTGGGAACATTCAAACTGTGTAAGTCTTTGTGATCATCTTGCTTATATCTCTAAACATTTCTTCTGTCTTTGTTGGCAGTTCTTGGCAATTTTGTATCAGCTCTCAATCAATTCATTGCGAATCGATATTCTATGAATCACTCAGTTTCTGAATACCACGTCTATGAGTTTTTTAAGGTACCATTTAGTCTTTAACAAGTCTGTGTTATATGCTTGCTTGCATTCCATATTTGCTCTCATCTCACACATTCACAAAGAAACATGTTTTTGAGTTCTGTTTAATGGAGTATCAATAAGCACATTTGATCACCTATGTTAAACCTTGACTGGTGTATCAGATAGCAAAAAAGTCTAAGATGAGAACTTTGATCCCCCGATCCTCCAACTTGAGGAAAAAAAGGTTATGATTGATCATTTTACACTTTATAATGCATTTCATGTGGTGTTGGTCGTTACCTGTTCCATCAAGATATGCTTAACTTGTGATCTCCAACTTCAGAAGCACCAAAACAAATCCTTTGTCAACAGTCAAGCTAATATTTTAATACGCATACAAGAATTCAATAAACCAAGCATTAAAGATAAGAATCAGTATCACATCTTTAGTTCTGTATTATCTGTTTCATACTTGGGTGTATATCATGTTCTGGAAATACTTGCTTATTGTATTTAATATGACCAGGGACTAGTACATCAGAAACCTTCCTCTTCCTTGTGAATTTTCTATGTGCGTATCTTGATCCAACTACTCCTTTTGTTGCTCTCACCCTTACTCTGGCTCGTCTTGTTATCCTCTTCCTTTGCTCCCATCCTTCATCTATTTCTTGCTTCTACATTTTTTTCTAGCAAACAGTTATTTAGTATATCAATAAGCAATATTGGCAAACTACCAAAAAGAAAGCAATAAATTAACCAAGACTGCAGTTATACCACTACCTGGTTACAACTGCTTAAGTCACCAAAGAAGCTTTCCTGTCATCTATGAGATTGATCTTTTAAAGAATTGAAGAATTGGGGTGGGATTATGGGGATGACTTCCTTGATGGACTAAGATTTTGTTCATTTATTACTTGAGATTCAAGTTAGATCTTGCTTTGTATTAAGAGAGTTGAATTGTTATGGCAGTGATCGTTAGCCTTGTTTACTGAGTGTGGGGGAAGGGAAGAGAGAGAGGCCACTGGCCTCCATTTCTTGTTCTTTTGACTTCTGTCATGATTTCACAGCATTTATTCTTGTGAAACATAGAACCCAGATCCTGATAGTGTGTACCTGTCTTTTAGGTCTCATTTGTAGCACTCTTTCATTTTCCTAGGTGTATATATAGTCCAATCCTCGCACCTGTATTTCAAGTTCATACAAATTAAATTGTCCTATATTTGCCCATGCTCAATTAGTTTTGAGGACTTAACACTTCATCTGAGCTTGCATGTCTTTGAAGATTGATGCTTTCTTTGGACAGAGTCAAGAATCTTTGTAGTAAGACCCTCCTGTTTTTGTAACTATAATGGAAGTGCTCACCACTCGGGATACTGTATTGGGTTGAAGCTGCATTTCATACTTCTATCGTTTCCACTGCTTAGGATGTAAACTTGGTGCTAAAATATGTTATGGAGGTTGAAAGCTAGGATATTACTTATTTCTATTCTTTTTTTTTTTTTTTTTCAATTATGGTCGGAAATAAATCATACCTATGCATATCTGATCATATTTTATTTTATAAATCTTGCAGATATGGAACTGTTCTCGGGATGAAGGTATTCATAAAGATTGTGTCTACTAAGATTGAGACATGCAACTAATAGAATTGATTTTTATTTTTTATTTTTTATTTTTTTTGTGATAACTCTTTGCTTATACATCCAGTTGATAACTCAATTGATTATTGTTCATGCTGTCTCGTTTTTCGCGATTTTCAGATAATGGGGCTTGATTGTAATTCAATTAAGCTCTAAATTTTATTTTCCTCGATAATTAAATCCAAGAACTTCTGAATGCACTTTTATCCACAATATTTTGGTTTTTTTCCAATTTTGGGAGGATAATGTGACCTCACCTTTTCAATGTGTATTTTGGTCCTATTACCCAGAACTTATTAGGTTCTATATATGCTTTCTGCATCAATGTCCTCTCCCTTCTTTTCCAGTTTCATATATGAATTATTTTGGTTAGTAAAAGTTTTGTGTGCATCATTACCCATGATGCTGTTGATGCTAGTATTAGATGGTTCTATGATTCCCTTGATGCATAACTGCAAAAGTGCAGGTCGAAGAACATAATATACATTTCTTTTGAAATTATTGCTCGACAGTTTGGCAATTTGTTGAAGAATGTTTAGATCTTTGTGTTGCAAAAACTTGCATTTTAGCTTTCAAAATGCCACCATCCCTTCCTGAGTTTCGAACTTGACAACCTGAATAAGAACATCATGATTTTTCTTTGACAGCTAATATACGCGTGCACGAATTTTTTAAGACATCTTATTTTAAGAAAGGGATACATCCAATTCCAGGTTCCCGGAGAGCTCTCCAAAAGTTATCCAAATTTTGTAATCTGTCAGTTGTTACGTACGTATCCTTAACCCTTGACTGCGTGACTTCTTTTTCAATTCATCTTTGATACTAATAGTCATTTATTGATTCTGTGCAGGTCCCGACAGAATGCAATTAAGGAGCATACGGTTGAATGGATTGAGAGATATTATCCGGGGTTGTTTATGGAGATCCAGTTTGGGAATCACTTTTCCTTGGATGGACAGTCCAGACCTAAATCAGACATTTGCAAGTATATTATTCACGTCTTACCCTTCCCTGATATATTCAAATACTTATTGTTCTTATAAAGACAAGCATGCCATTAAATTGCTGTATGCTCAAGTGTGATTTTGCTAGGATAGTCATTATTTATTGATCTGCCAGCATATTGATGTGGGGGGAACGATGGTTTTGCTTTGATTCTGGCAGGTCCTTGGGAGCAAAGGTTTTGATTGACGACAATCCAAGATACGCAATTGAGTGTGCTGAAGTCGGGATTAAGGTTCTTCTTTTCGATTATGAGAATTCTTATCCTTGGTCCAAGATGGAGTCTGTTAATCGACATCCTCTTGTCACCAAGGTCCACAATTGGGAAGAAGTGGAGCATCAGTTAGCATTCTGGATTATGTCAAGAAAAATTTGATCCCTCAACTAGGTTCATGAGACATTGATTCATTAGAAATTTTAGATTTCATTTTTAATAATAGCTGGACTGTCAAATTAAAGGAAA